GGTCCATACAAGCAATTAACGACTTCCCGGTACTGTGCGCTGTGCAAATGCCTCCTTAACTAATCCTGTCTCTGCCCAAAGGCCCAAGAATAAAATGCCACCTGCCTGGCTTTGAGGAACCTGAAATGACAGGCTGGCTGGTTTTCAGGACCAGCAACAATAAATTTTTTGCCTTGTGGAGTCAGGCACCAAGGACTGGCTTCACCTTCAATCACATAGTTTCAAATGGGTTCATATTGTTGAGGATCCTGAAGGGACTTCTTTGCAAATGAAACTTAACGCTGGGTTTCTTGCTGAGAACCCTGATTGTAAGCCTTTAGCTCACCTGATTTCACTTGGAGCATTAGTGTAATTTCACGGAGCTTCCAAATGCCTACCTTTGGCATGGGGGGAGTGGAGGAAGATATAAGAGGCTTTGCCATTTTGTCTGTCTGTTTTTATAGTCTTGGTCTAGTTCAGAGAGGGAAGTGCCCACCTGCTTTGTTGGCATTACATATAGCTAGTTTTTAATCCTTTAGGAATTTTCTGGAACAAATTTTTTCTATACCATCAATATTTTGCATTGACAATGAAACCTGTACTGTGGCCATCCCCTTTTCCTTTTCTTTCTTTCTTACTCACTCCTATTGGCCATTTCCCCTCTTCTGTCTTCCTCTCCCATCCCCTTCATGTTTCAGTAGTGCCAAGGTGACCTCAAGCTGTGCAAGGCAGCCTTGAGGCTTTATGTAAATTTCATTTGGTGAAAAGAATATTTAGGGGAAGAGTCCTGTAGCCTTTTCATATAAAAACCAATTGAAATTGGGAGCCCCAATTAGCATGTACCACTGCTGCCAACAACTTGTAGGTGGAACCACCAACATGGCCACCTTTCCTCAAAAAGCCTGTCCCAGCCAACTAGACTGCTGAATTTCCACTGATTTTCCAGGAGTCACTGCTCCTGCTGCTATTTAAATAGGAACTTATGTTGACTCACTGCCCACTCTGCTAATTATGCATCCATTGATGGGGTTGCTGCGAAGCAGTTGGTGGCTTATTCTTGGGCTGTTTTTACATTTAACCCATTTATTGGCATCAATGTTGCCTTTGATTGTAGCAGTAACACTGGTGGTACAGTCGCGAGCTGGCTGTTGGTTGTCATTCAGTGCTATTTGCACCAATGCCTCCCTCCCACCCCCTTTCCCCTTTCTTCCCTGTCCTCTTTGCCACAACTCCATGAACACCTTCTTGGTATATTCAGAGGGGCTCACCACATAATGATTTGTCCGTCTTGCTTTGTCTCTCTTCCCTCAATCCTGCCTCATGAAATCCATGGGGAAGGGGTATTTTATGTTGATTGAGTATCAAAAAGACCTAAGAGAAATGCAGAGTCCTTTGTGTCCCAGCAGTGCCAACTTTCCTGCACAGAAAAGTGTCCACATGTCAGCCCGTCAGAGTGGTACTGGAGCGATGCAGGAGGTTTAGGGGCTTTTAGCCCATAGTGCCTTCCCCAACCCAGAAAGATTAGCCACACCATAACCTAGTATGTCATTGTTCTCTGGAATCAAAGAATCCCAAGAGAACTCTGTGTGTTGTGACCTGATAGTTGTACAGACAAGAGAGACTCCTAAAGTCACCAGCAAGATATAAAGGGAAAGAGAAGACTTTGGGGAGGTGTGGATGCAGTATGAGCCCTTTTTATTGCCAGAGCACTGGAGGAAACACCCTGAGAAATGGTCCATCTACTTGTTGGGGAGCAGCAAGGAACTAATATCTGAATTGAGATTTAGCCTATCTTCGTTTAAGCAGCCTTGTTATGTTTGAATTCCCCAGAATAACTGGCAACTGGACAGGAATACTGAGTGACATCTACAGCCTGAACAGGGGCTATTTCTTCTTTTAGAATCACCAACCAACAAATTTTTTTAAAAAACAAAAACCCACATTGTTTTATGTTTGCTTAAAGATTTTTAATAATGTTTTGCGGTTATTCCTTGTTGGATTGGGAAAAAAAAACCCTAATAGTGCTGTCCCATAATTGCTTTTACAGCTTGATTCCTGATGGCAGCTACAATTAGGGTGACCCTGTGTTGGAGAACCTCTTTCTGTTGGAGGCTCAAAGGCAGCTGAGTGAGGTTGCTTAAAGTGCCTCCTGTGCATCCAGTTCAGACCACACGAACATCTAGAAGCCTGATGTCTCAAGAAGTTCCAGGAAATACAGACTATGATTTCCATAATTCAGTGAAGGATAATTGCAGTTGTCAAAGACTGCTGTCTTTACATTTTCATCAAGTATTTATTGATGGGTTACATTGGTTTGTTTCTACTGATCTCTGTAACCCAAGGCTGCAAATGGGGGAAGAGTCCTAAGACATCTCTTTGGACTCTGAGTTTTCTTCTATCTGAACGTCCCTAATCCTACCAGGTCCACAAAAAGGGATAAAACAATGTGAGGTACAGACTATCAAACTTGGCCTGAAATACAGCATCTGGCTTGGCCCACGTAAAGCTGTGGAGCTTCAGGAGCTGCACTCCGGCCAACTACTCTGGCTCAGCAGAACGCAGTGACAATGCCTGGCAGAAACGTGACTAATGAAGCAAGTGATTGTAGGATAGGCCTTGCTAGAATCAGACGGTAATCTTGTCATGTGCAGAAACGGCTCCATTTAAACATGTATCAGACCATTTACGTATTAACAGGTAGCTTAGTAAGGACTTTTTTTTTTTCTTTTTATTCTAAAAATCATATACTGGAGAGCAAGCTAACTAGAATGGGCTTAGCAGCCTGACAGGCCTGTGTTCAAATCTCAGCTGTTACGATTGTGACCTTGAGTAAACTTGTAAAATGTAGGTGATATCCCCTCTGTCATCAAGCTGTGGTGAGGCTTATGCCAGCAGAGTGAGCATCCGTAAGTGGGAGCTAATATTGTTGTAATAACCACAGACAAGTCTTTAAATCCTAAGTCAAACATTTGTACACTTGGACTTTTGTAATTCATCATTTTCAAATGAGCTAGTCTACTTGCAGATGAGTCACTTTTGGCACATGGGCCTTAGTATAATGAATAATATTCTTTTATTAGGTTTGCTTAAAAAGTCAGGAAGCTGGCTATTTTCAGTGTGTTCTGCAAGCTAGTTGACCCCATCCTTCACGAGGCCTCCATTTATTGCAACTGTGTGATTAAACTGAACTAATGACAATTGCTAACTGTTCAAGTGCTTCTCATTTTCTCTTTGTGATAAGGAGACAGAGTGACTGCCTGGAACAGTGTTTTAGAAGCCTCCCAACCAATCCAAAGACCAAGATAAATGGATCATATTCCATTGCAGGTGGAATCTTTTTAGCCCAGATTTTTTTTTAAAAAGTCCAGTACCCTAATGTCATTTGAGATGACCAATTATGTGGAACCTGTGGATGTGTCATTTCTTGGAATTTTTAAACTTTTGGAAACCTGAATGAAAATCACAGTGAAAGGAGTTTGTTTACCTTATCCCTTCCCTGTCATGGTTACCATCTTGTACTTTTCACTGTCACTGCAGGGTAGATGTATGCTAAATTACCCTCCCTGAAACAGGCCATGTCGTAGTACTTAGTGCATGTGTGACTCCATCTATCTATGTCATTAACACTGCCTGGCTCCAGCCCATTCTGACAGGTTGTTTGCTCTTTAACACATCCTCCTCTAACTTGCACCCATGTCAGGATGTTTGTGGCTAAAAGGATAGTATTTTTGTGAGTATGTACATAATTCTTGTTTAGATAAGAACGAGGGCAAGTAGAGAATTGAAGAGCTACCTTACAGTAATAGATTAAGCTTCCCTTTGTCTTGCAGAATAATGACGTGTAGGAATAAATAGTAAATAGTAACTGAACTGCTTCTTAAGATTAAATATGTTAAGGTTCTAAATTAATAGTGTAGCATATGAATTTACAAATTATGATAAACAATTCACAGTTACTTTAAACTTTTTCATTTACCTGCTCTGAATTAAGTCCAGGTGTCCTGGATTTAGTAGGTTCCTAAAGGAAGTTACATGCATTGGGCAGCTTTGGGATTAGATGGGACATCACCAGTGGTCAGAAATGCCTGAAATTAGACCACAACTAATTCATGGAAGAGTGATTGTATAAAAATCACTTGTGGAACACGAATTTACTTGTGAGTAATCTAAATAATGATCTAATTTAAATTCTTAAGAGTATATATAAATTCACAATAATTATGTATTTTTAGATTGCACTTTTCAGTTTATACAGTTTGCGTCCATAACTTTTCATTATACCCTTATTAACCTTGGGAGATTAGCCACAGTTATAAGAGAGCAAGGCAAGAGTGACACGCATGAGTTAAATTCACAATAAATAAGTAACTTGCTCAGTGTCATATTTAGCCAGTGCTTGTGGTAGTAAGACCATTAAGCCTTGGTTTTTTGACTCCAAATTGCAGCCCTTTCACTAACTCCTTTTGCCTCCTTTGTTAATAAATATTGTCACTCCTTCCTTAGTTGAGTCGCTTTGGTGACTTCCTTTTTGACTTTCGGCAGTAAAATAAAATAGAATATTGCTCCCTTGGCTGGTTGTCATTTTGACGATACCAGGTGGGGCTACACTGTAATAATTCTTGTTTTCCAGGACATCTCTCATTTCACACGTACAGGCTCTTCACACATTTATAAGCCACTTATAGGTAAGGCTCTGGGGAAGTGGGACACTTGCTCATGATCTTCCATTTCCCAAGTCCCTCAATTCAAGTATTTTTGACATTCTAAAATGATCACTTTTAGAAATAATTCAAGTCTGCTAGAAAAACAGGGTAATTCTCCTCGAGCTACCAAATGTCTCTTCCTACCATAGATTAAGGTTTGCAGAGGCCGCACTGCTATGTCAGAATTAAATTTTCACTACATTATGTTGAAAGAGTCTGAGAAGAAAAAAACTGATCAGTTTTAGGCAATAACTTTGAACCCACTACTGAACTTAACCTACAAACTGTTCTTCTCCCACATTTTGGGGGTCTTTACTAACTTATTTACCTGCTGTTTTTAAAAATTAATTAACTAATTAATTAATTCTGGCTTCGTGGTATCTATTTTTGAGCACCTGCAGAATGCATATCCCTGCAGTAGGTGTTTATTTTCCTGTCAGGATTTTGGGTCAAGAGCTCAATGCCCTTTGTCATCCTTTTATTTCCTACAGATACCAATTCATGTAATTATGGGCATGATGTAATTTAAACTCTTTGCAAATTACCAATGACCCAAAATATGATGTGCTCTGCTACTTAGTTTTCTGTGCATTAAAGTCCCCGTTAGTTATATCTTGTCATCTCCCCCAGAAATCAAGGCGGTGGAAAAGTAAGCGTGAGGGATCAGACTCTGGCAATCGACAGATCAAGGCTGCTGGGAAAGTCATCATCCAGGATGTTGCATGCCTCCTTCCTGTTCACAAAGCACTGGGAGAACTGTACATGTAAGTTCAAAACGTCAAGTTTACTATGCTTATCACTTAGTCAAGATTAGCAAAATTATTTTTTTAAGGTATTGGAACTCTCTTTAAAAGCAGTTTTAGGAGAAGCCCAATGTATTAGCTTTCTATTGCTGCATAACAACTTACCACAAACTTAGAAGCTTCAAACAACATTTATTCATCATCTCACAGTTTCCATGGGTCAGGAGTCTGGGAATGGCTTCACTGGATCCATGCTCAGGGTCCTCTTCCAGGCTTGTTCAGGTCATCAACAGAATTCAGTCCCTTATAGCTATAGAACTCTTCTATGAATTTTATCTTCTTCGGACCAGGGGAATGGCTCCCAGACGCTTCACCTTCTTTCTAAGGCCTCACCTGATTAGGTCAGGCCCACCCAGGATATTCTCCCTTTTGACAAACCCAATTAACTGTGTAATAACCTCATTACAGTCAAGAGTTTGGATCCCCCTTACTGGCCAGCCAGACACACACACACACACACACACACACTGGCCAGCCACACACACACACACACCCCTAATCACAGGAGTAATATGCCATCAGAATTCACTGGTGCTGCCCACATTGAAAGGGAGAGTATTATACAAAGTATATATGGCAGGGGCCAAGAATCTCAGGGACCAACTGAGAATTCTGCTTCCCACACCCAATATAAAAAAGCAGATCAAAGCAGAGGTATTTTGAAGGGAAGTGGGAGGTGAATGACCAGCATGCAGATGCCAGCCTGCAGTTCCCTTCTTCTTCCCAAACTTGAACTCTTAATAAAAAGTATTTCTTTTGTAGTATATACACAACACACTACTCTTCATGTTAGAAGCCACAGTCAGTATTGCATATACAGTCATGCACCACTTAACAACGGGGATAGGTTAGACGATTTTGTCATTGTGTGAACATCATAGAGTGTACTTACACAAACCTAGATGGTATAGCCTGTGGCTCCTAGGATCCAAACCTGTACAGCATGTTATTATACTGATTACTGTAGGCAACTGTAATATAATGGTAAGTATTTGTGTTTCTAAACATACCTCGACATAAAAAAGGTACAGTAAAAATATGGTATTATTATCTTATGGGACCACCATCATATATGTGGTCTGTCATTGAGCAAAAAGAAAAACATCTTTATGCGGTGCATAAACCATTTAAAACAATTTTTATTCAACCCTCAAAACTTAGGAACTCCACAGAAGAGCTGGTTGGCAAATTAGTATTTGAGTATGGTCTCCTCTCCTGACTCCAAAGAAGTGAGTAATTTCACCTTCCTCAGACCAGAACCCACAGCTCAGTTAACATCGGTTCTAGTTAAGCTTTTTCTCCATGTCAGATAGAAAGGGAGCTAAAGGCCAACACAGTATAAAACATTTTGGGTGACATCTGAAGAGGCAGATTCTAGTCTGTTAAGCCAGGAGTAATTGATTTAGGAGGTTAGACTAGAAAGAAACTTTTTTGTTCTTTTAAAAATTTCAGACTGAATGTGACTGATATTCAGGAAACATGTCAGAAGAATGCCACTTCTGCCTTGCTTGTTGGAAGAAAGGACCTTGTCCAGGTATTGTGCATCCCTTTTGGTGGAGATCTGTAGTTTTCTTTTAGAGCAGGTTGTTTTTGCTTTATAATTGTGGTTTAACAACATTTTCAAGGTGTACCTCCTCTTTTGCAATTCCTTTCCCATTTCCTTTGCCAACCTGTGGTGCTAGAGCAGCTTTCCAAATCCCCCGGATTTTTGTTTGTTTGTTTTTTTAACTAGTGCTTAGTTGGGAAGGCCCTAAAGCATTTGCTGAGTGTTTTTTTATTATGTCTCTTTTCTATTTCAGTACCATGGTGATTGTTACATACCTTAATTTGGATATCTGTATGCTTGCCATTTGCACCCTCAATTTTTTTTTTTTTACTTTTAGAAATGTTTTATTTCATAAAAGGTTTACTGAAGTGTTCCTTTAGATAGATATGTTCAATTTTAAAATATGGTTTAATCTTACAAAAATTTAAATTTCCTTCATCTTTGCAGGAAGATATCAGTGTGAAAGCAACCTGTTCCTATATTGTTTTCTTAAATAGTTTTATTGAAATATAGTCACATATTATGTAATTTGCCCATTTAAAATGTACCATTTAGTGGTTTGTAGTGTATTCAGATTGTACAGCCGTCACCACAGTTTCAGAATATTTTTTTACCCCAAAAAGAAACCCCATCCCCTTTACTGTCATCTATCAATCCCTTCTTGCCCCCAACCCTGAGCAACCACTAATCTATTTTCTTCCCCTACTGCACCCTCATTCTTTAGGTGAGGATTAGACTGAGCAATGGAGGCTACTAGCTGTTTTCCTGTCAGCTCAGTTGTTTTTTCCTTATAATGCCCCAAATAAGTTAAAGCTAAGGCCTTTCCTTGATTTTTGTCAGATTAAGAAATCCATAAGTTTCCAGTTGTCTTCTAATAAACACTGTCAAGTCTTTGCCCAAAACCCTTTTAGGAGAAATTCAGTCATGGCTTTGATCTAGTTCTGTAAGGACCCAGCTCCCTAGGTTCGTAGAAAGGTGCAAAATTGACAGTGTAGGCTGGGGGCCAACATGGCTTCCCAGCCAAGTAACCCTGGGCAAGTTATTTCAGAGTCTCTCAGCCTCTGTTTATGTCTGTAAAATGAGAATCCTAAGAATAATTTCCTCATGGGGTGGGTAAGAAGTCTGTTAAATGCAGTGACCCAAGATTCATGTTCTGAAAAAAACATTCTCTGAGGAAAAATGACTTCCTAAAGATTTTTGTTTCTTTGTTTAAAGTTTTTTGTACTTTTCTGGCAGAGTTGATTTAGAAGGGCAGGCCAGTCCAAGTGAAGTGGGAAGACTTGTGTTCAGACAGACTTGGCTTAAATCTGGGCTCTGGCACATTTTTGTTATGTGATCATAGGCAAGCCACCTAGTCTTTCTGAACCTCAACTTCCTCGACTATAAAATGGTAGCAATACTTCTAAAGTCATTATGAGAATTAAATAAAGTAATATATGTAAGTCCTATAACTATATTCGGTAGATGGTAAATGCTTAATATATGGTATAATTACTGCTGCTGTTCTTGTAATTACCATTTGTGACATGGTATTGTTTAATAGGACAGAGAAATTACATCAGTAAAAATGCTTGATGAATTTCTCTTGTTCTTCTTTATGGCCATGTTGAAGATGACATGTTTACTATTTTTGCAAAGAGTTGCATAAATAAGCCTAAGTGTCACCATATCTGTTGAAGGTATTTAGGAAATGTGTACTATAAAGTGAGGAAATAACAGCCTAAATTGTCAGCCAGGGTAGTAAACATCCTATCCTATCCCAAAAAGCCATTAACTTCTTTCTTAACCATTCAGGTGGGTCACTGATTATAGAGATGAATGGAACCTTCAAGTTTCTCCTTTTAAATGATACTTGTGTGTATTTTTATGTGTGCCACATAGTTTAATTGATTTTTCATGTCTGATGTTTCTCTAGTTGTTTTTCAGCATTTTTATTTGCTTCTTCTTTTTCTTAGTTATAGACTCCTTGATTCAGAGTTCATATATTCTTCCTTTTGAGCTTCTCAAAGAGTGTAATATAGTGTTTTCCAGATAGTGGTTGTACAATGATGGGTTGCTACTAAGAAAGGTTTTCTAAAAGTAGTATTTCAATTTTTGAAGATATTAAGGAGATGGGGGCTTTGTTTCTTTTGTTTTTTGTTTTTTCATGGGTTTTTTTGGTGGCTGGCCAGTGCAGGGACCGATCCCTGGACCTTGATGTTACCAGTATCACACTCTAACCAACTGAGATGACTGGCCAGCCCCAATGGA